GTCTTCCTATCAATGCAGGGAAATGGATTCTAATTTTCATTTATATATAACAATTAATATATTTTACTTTAAGTCACCTGACAAAGTAATAATTGTCAGGTTTAAAAAATATCTGCAGGGTAGAGGTGTAATTTATCCAACAGGACAACAAACTTGGGGAATGGATGGAGTCAAAAGTACATTGGAAATGAATAAAATACATCTTCATAAGAGAAAATGTTTAGTTATTTTTCCCAGCTTTTTAATGAAAGATGCTGAAAAAAATTCATTTCAAATGTGTAATAAAATCCAATACAGAATTTCTGAACCTTTCATTTCCACTCATGGTTTCTAGCTAGAGATGGGGGTATTCGTATATGAATACAAATATCCCCGCACAGGTGGTGATAATGAGGGTCCATTCACCGCACAGGTGGTGATAATGAGGGTCCACTCACACTGCCGCAGATGCCGCGATTCTTCCAATGGCTCCGCGTATTGCGATTGGCTAGCCACTGGTGGCGCTGCAGATGCCGCGATTCTTCCAATGGCTCCACATATTGCGATTGGTTAGCCACTGGTGGAAGGAGGTGGGAGGACCAGCCTCGCTACAAGGTTGAAAAGTGGCTCGCAGATTACGATCTGCAGAGCCATTGGAAGAATTGCAATGTCCATGGCAGTGGCCAGTCGGTGAGTGGACCGTCTGGCCCCATGGGGCTGGACCCATGTTATCGCCACCTGTGCGGGGATGTTCCACATATTGCGATTGGTTAGCCACTGGTGGAAGGAGGTGGGAGGACCAGCCTCGCTACAAGGTTGAAAAGTGGCTCGCAGATTACGATCTGCAGAGCCATTGGAAGAATTGCAATGTCCATGGCAGTGGCCAGTCGGTGAGTGGACCGTCTGGCCCCATGGGGCTGGACCCGTGTTATCGCCACCTGTGCGGGGATGTTTGTTTATGAATACAAATACCCCCATCTCTTTCTAACAGCTGTATTCTGGAGAAATAAAAAGTATAAACAGTTGCATTCACATGGTAATAGTTATTCAGGAGCAAAAAAAAAGGTGTAAAAATGTTCAGATAAGATACATGTAAATTGTTAAAGGACAGTTTTGCTGATTTCTGGCAACAGTTTTCTTCTATAGTTTTGCACAAGCGATCTCGAAGAGTGATCTCAAATTGTGTGTTTCCATTGGCTTTTGTTCCAACCCTAATTGGCTTTTGTTCCAATCCATTACCAAATTAGTTTTATTTTGTAACAGTACCTTAGTGATTAGCAGTGTAACCACCACAACCACCTTTGAATTACAGAGCTGGAAGGGACCCTATGGATCATCGAGACCAGCCCCTGTCAAAGAGGCTCAATGGGGCATGAAACTCCCAATCTCTGGCTCTGCAGCCAGACGCCTAAATCACTGAGTTATCCAGTTTACTTGGAAGTACCTCCTTTTATTTTTAGTATGGCTTACTTCCAGGTAATTGTGTATACAATTGTAGCCTGATAATGCAATCTGATAGGTGTCTCCACAAAAGCAAATCTCACTGTGATTAGTGGAGTTTATTAGTTTTAAGTAATTCAACTGTTGCCTAGTTTTTGAAGCTGGCAGCTTTCAAAGGCCATGCCAGCTTCTCTTTTTACTCTAACTAGGGCAAATGTTGCTGGTGTGCATTTGACTGTAATTGCAAAAAATCACTGCTTATTCAGCAGGAAAGAAATGTTCAGTTCACAGTGTTTGGAGCAGAACTAGTGTGTGTGTGTGTGTGTGCATGCATACATATTTACATATGTGAGAGAGAATGAGAAAGAAGGATGGGGAGATGTATGAATATTAGATATATCTAAAGTTATTATTTTATTTAAGGAAAAAACACTGAAACATACTAGATGTGGGTAATAAGCTGCAGGTGATTCAATGTTTATTTGGATTGTCTCACCCACAACTAGTTGACCGCTTAGACTAAGGCAGGAGCAGGCAACTTGTGGCCCTCCAGTGTGGTTAGACTGTGCCTTCCAAACCCACCTGTTTTAGCTGCCAGAGCTGTTTGTGAAGGATGAAGAGCACAAGTCTAACATTATTTGGCAAACAGAAAAGCTGACTCAGATCTGCCATCTCCTTTTAATGCCATAAATTCAAGTTGTTCACATATTCAGATTAAAGCATTAAAACCTGATGGGTGGGGGTAAAGAAGATGCAGGATGCTTTCTAGTCTCGTTATACCTCAGCAGAAACGTAGGACTGTGTTCATACCTGTTACATTTGCCCATAAATGTTTTCAAATAGTAGCCATATTAACTTATTTCAGAATGTGCAGTATAACAAAAATAAAACACAGACAGAAAATGACCATGTGATTCATTCATAGCAGCGAGGCTGGGCAGTAAATTTAGTAGCTTAATAATTACAAGTAAGATGAACTTTTGATTTCATTAGAAATTTGCATCAAGCGAAGATTGGTATAAAACCTGGTATTAAGGCAAATAAAAAATTGGAAGCCAGGCTGCTGATGAAGCAAATGTATTTTAGATTTTATATGAGACACAAATGACAAAGGTTAACTATTTTTGTTTATTCCACTTCTGCAGACAACAGGCTGGCTTGCCTTCCTTCAGGCATAACTGCCACTTGTATGTATACAGTGGACACTTGACTTACAGACTTTTTGACTTGAGAACCGCCTTCCAATACCGATTAAGTTCTCAAGTCAAGACCCCACTGTATATGCTGCCTAATTTAGGGCAAAACACTACTTACTCTGGCTGGTTGACAATCATGCAAATAATTCTCTGAACTGATTTCAAATCTCAATCCATCACCCCACCTCCTCAGTTAAATCCCCAACAACCCAAATTCAGCCCACTCCCAAACACAATTCCAAATAAAAAAGATGGTTGACGGATGACGTATGTTGCAAGTTAATGTATGGGGTGTTTTTCTGCTGGAAGTCTACTAAATTCAAAATGAAAAAAAAAATAAAGAAATATTGTGGCATCTTAAAGACAAAGAGACTTATTTCATTGTGAGCTCTCCTGGATTACAATCCACTTTCTCAGACACATAGATGCATCCAGTGAAGGTAGATGCAGGTGCAGAAAATGGAATTTCAAAGTGGCAGTAGTATTATTAAAACAAATAGAGAACTCAGAGAGTTACACAAATTTCCTGACTCTGTGCTGTCTTATCAGGTGAGCAAAAGCTGTCTAGCCTTTGTGTCTGAGGAGAGAGAGGCAGCTGAGAAACTAGATACACAAAACCAGAGTACTGTATATGGAAAGGCTCATATGTAGACCAAGGATTCTTAACTCTATATATCTCAACAAATTATATTTTCTTTACAGTCTTAAGTATGGAGAAATTTATTGTCTTTAACCTCAAACTGATTCATACAAAAAGAGGAACTCACCCCCCCAAGTTGCTTCCTGATTCAATAAGGACCAGCATATGTTCATTGTTCCAAAGGCAGGTGTTGTGACAGATGTGGCTGAACTGGCTATTCCTCTAGCATAAAATCTGTATCACATATCATTATTTATCTTTAGTAAAATGAATGCAGTTGAGCCAAAAGCACATTGGTTCAAGTTTCTGTCAACAGTGAAGGTAGATTTTCAAAAAACGGAGCTGCATTCGTTTAACTGAAAAATGTGAAACTAATGCTATACAAAATGTTTACCTGTAGTTTAGTTATCTCCTATGTTTGACACCACCAATTTAGGTTTCAGGGGACCTTTTAAAAGTTAATTATGTGCAACATATAACATGTTCAGTTATAAAAATAATTGAGGAATATAGCTTGTGTATTTTTGACCAAACTCCAGGAGGCAGTGGAAGACAGGAGGCCCTGGCGAGCTCTGGTCCATGGGGTCACAAAGAGTCGGACATGACTAAACGACTAAATAACAATATTCACGAAGGCTTTCACAGCAGGGATCTGATGGTTGTTGTGGGTTTTTTGGGCTCTTTGGCCGTGTTCTGAAGGTTGTTCTTCCTACCGTTTCGCCAGTCTCTGTGGCCAGCATCTTCAGAGGACAGAAGTAGCACTCTGTCCTTTGAAGAGCACAGAGTGCTACTCCTGTCCTCTGAAGATGCTGGTCACAGAGACTGGTGAAACGTTAGGAAAAACAACCTTCAGAACACGGCCAAAGAGCCTTAAAAACCCACAAAAACCAAATAACAACAAACTTGTGTATTGCATAATATTTGTGGAAGAAAGGGCATTCAAACAACACCTGGTAGGAACCCAGTCCTGACACTTTTTTGTTACTCCTCCCTTACCACAGGATCTAGACGTGGGAATTGGGCTGAATGTGCCCCACCTGCTAGGCCACAGAATGATTACCTATGAATGTAATGCAGTAGTGAAAATGTTAATTCCTTTGCGTGTTATAAACCTTGACGTTGCCATTAGACTCTCTTGATCTTATGTTCCAATCCGGATCCTCTCCCCCTTTGAATATTTTCCTGGCTGCGCTCACCTGTGTTCATGGCACATACCAGAAGAGTTCCTGCCCTTTGTTACTCTGCCGCCACTTTGCCATCCCCCGGAAAAGTCAGGTTGTGATTTCACAGTGACAGGTGCTGGAAGAAGAAGAAGATGATGATCCAAGAAGAGACGGTATCTGGAAGGCTTCCAAAGGAGGCTCTTTTGATTTCAAGCCCTCCCGTTTATGCAAATTGCCCTAATTTCGCGTTGGCAGAGTTTGGCTGCCTGCAAAAGAGGCACCCGCAGGCAGTTCCCCCCCCCCCCGCTGCTCTTCCGCCCGGGTCCTCCTCGCCCGGGCGAAGTCCCGCTCAAGGTTATGGGCCCGCCAGACGTCCGGGGCAGCTTCTGCCCTTTCCCGGCTGTCCGCCCTCCCCTCCCCTCTCCCGCCCTCCAGCCGCCGCCGCGAAGGAAGGCGCTTTCGCCGTTGCCGGGTGGCCGCCGAACAGAGGCGGCACCTTTGACGTTCTGTTTCCCCCACGTGACAGGCGGCCTCGCTCCGTTCCGCGAAGGGAGGGAGGGAGGGAGGGAGGTGTTGCTGTCGCTGCCTCCGCTTGTGCCAAGCTTTAGGGGACTCGTAAGCTCCCGAGGAGCGGCGGCGGCGGCGGCGGCGGCAGGAGGAGGGAGCAAGCCTTGTGCGCCCTCATTGTTTATGTGATGAGCGGGCCTGGCTTCTCTTTGCCGTCTGCCGCCGGCTGACCAGAAGGCTGCGGAAAGCGAGGCGGGGGGAGACCGGGCAAGGGACGAGAGGGAGCAGAGGCGGCTCCTGCCCCCGCCGCCGTGCCGTGCCGTGCCGCGGGTGACCTTGGCCCAGGAGGTAAATCAGCCCTCCGGAAAGCGGGAAGTGGGGGAATGTC